GTCGATGAGAAATATTTCTTCTAGAACCACAAGAATTGCTTGCTATCAAGTATCAACATTGATTCATATATATATATATGGAGAGATTGAGAGAATGGATATATGGGGTGCAGAAAACATCAAGCAATAAAATTGGAATGAGTTAATATCTTTCCATAGTATGTAGTACGTCATTAATTTGGTGGCAAAATAGGAATGCAGGTTAGGAAGTTATCCTTTGTGAGATTTGTTTCCTGTTTTCAGATATGTACGTATTAAAATATTAACTAGAAATTTGCATAGGAAATAATGACAATAACGAGATAAATTGTGAAACTTGAAATAGAAGGTCTTAATTTATTAACTCGTTGCATCCTGCTTAAATAGAGAGCTAGGTATTGCATGCCCTATTTGTCAGTGATGTGTTAAGATTTGTGACTTAGGGCATCTTCAACACGGATCACCAAAACACATGTGTCCAAACCATCCCGTCCAAATACTTGTAGCTATCCAATGCATATCATCAAAACGGGCTGGATTGGTTCAGACGTCCGCCACGCCAAACTCCGACACCTCGGATCCACCCTAAAAAACCATCTCCAGACGAAACTAGAACCTTATGCATGCCAGCATTCACAACGCTTGATCAGATGTCTGCCTACCTGCATCCAAGCAGGCGAGCTGCACGAGACGCCTACTCCGATTGTCTGCATTGAACATTCATCACTCCGCCAGCCTCACTATACAAATTTGGCCAGCCATCCCCCAAGACCTCACTTTCGAGCCCATTCTCCCACCTCTCCTACCATTCGAGCCCCTAGTCCGTCATCCATCGCCATGGCCCGATCCAAGATGAAGTGGTTCAAGATGCTGGCGTCGACCTCGTTGCGAAGGTCGGCGCCACGGACGCTCGACGTCAAGCCCGTACTAGGGAGGGCCAACCTCCGAGCTTGGGTGAGGAGAAATAGGAGGAAGGCAACCCCATGGCCATGACAGGGGCTGAGGCTTTTGCAATGGCGGAGGACAAGGTGCCCGCGGAGGAGAAGACGATGTCGTTGGCGCTGCACCGGTGTCCAACTTCATCAAGCTACAGGTGAAGCAGAAGTTCAACCTCACACTCCTTGAGGAGCGCCTCATAGCGGTGGTTCAACTCAAGGCAAAACGCGTAGATGTTGCCACCATGGCAGAGGTCCTCGCAAGCCTGGGTGTCCTCGACAAGAACCGAGCAGTGCTCTCATCCGTGCAGAGCCACCGCACCACTGATGGTGAAGGCCGCGAGGTCCGCATCAACGACACACGTCGAGTCTGGCTCTTCGAGGAGCTCAAGGCCGCCGGTGACTAGGCCCAAGACCAGTGCAACAATTATGCCAAGAAGGTATCCTTCAACGACTCTTGTTGTGTTTGGGTTTGTCGCCAATCATGAGGGAAGTAGTTATATGGATCTTTTGCTGTGAACACCAACTAAATATAAGATTGATGTTCACGATTTTGTGGGGAATATGGTTGGATGGCCTCCACCCAGCCAGCAATCAACGGACACATCAGAACGTGTCTACAGACGTTTGATGATCCGTGTTATAAGACGTGTTTGGTAAACTGTAGCAATTGAGCCAAGCTGCATGACGAGAATAATCCAGTCCGAATGGTGCAAAAATCTACATAAACATATAGTTTGGTTATCAGCATGGTAGTTGGTGGGGTTTGGCAGCATGAGTTCTTTCAACATAAGGAATCTAATGGCCAAATGTGAGCGTCCATCCAATCATAGTTTTCTAATCCGAAAAACATTTAGCTAGTAGGATAGAGTGGGAAAAGTTGGCATGGCTGCTGGCATGAACTGTGGCCATTGTGTGGAGATGTACCTAAGAGATGCATGGTTTGTCTGTTAGGCTCAGCTGGGTGATTGTTGTCTGACTGCGTCCGACTGGTGCATACAACCGGCTGGTGCAATTTTCGTCCTCAACAAAGCATATTAAACTAAAAAAATGGCAGGCGGTCATAATTCATGCCAGCAGCCATGCCAACGGCCGACACACATGTCAGCCTAAAAAAACAGCACACAGTTTATGTTGGTGCACTTACCATCGGCCAGCACACAAGAAAGGGCGGTAGTCCAATCACGCCATGCATCTCGGTCGTGGTCATGCTGGCACACTTGTCAGAATACAAAAAAGATGGTGCTCTTTGTCATTGATCAATCATCAAGCTTGAGCATCTCCCTCTGCATCTTCTCAAACTAAGGCCTCTTCCTCAGGGACACCGTGCTCAAGTCCACTGTCATGATCTCCATCTCCTTCATCATGCAAGCGAGCCCCACTTCTTTTGCTTTGGTACTCTCGATCTCTAGCTTCTTCGCTTGCAAGTCCGCCTCCATCTCTAGCTTCTTCGCTTCCATCTCCGCGTCCATCTCGAGCTTCTTCCTTTGTATCTCCATGTAGGCCGTCATTTGCTCGTCTTTATCTTGCTGACACTTCTCCTCCCTTGTTTCCTTTTGGGTCATCATGCCTTTGTATCTCCATGATGCTGCATCACGCTCCTTCTCTTTCTTGGAGTTGGTCTTTCCTCGCGGCCGCAGCTTCTCGCCCTCACCATGCTCCTTGGCGGCTTGCGGCCCTCCATTCTTCTTGAGTGCGACATATTGCTCCTTGAATTTCTCGTTGCTCTTTATGATCATCCAACAATGGGTGAGCGTGAACGGCTTGTTCCCATGTTGGGCCTTGAATGCCTCCAAAGCTTGAAATGCCTGCAAATGAAGACAAAAATGCATATTCATATGTGTAATGGACATGCAAGCATGAAACACGAAAACGAGAATGAAGATGGAGGAATGTATACCATGTCTTTGATGCCAAGGCCACTCACAGGACGACCCTCGATGCTCTCAAGGGTGGCACAAAACTTGTTGCGCTCTTGTTGTTGACCCTCCAACGCTTCGAGAGGGACATCCAACCACGCTTGATCTCCATCTTGTATGGCGTAAACTTCTTGCGTTCATGGAATTGGCGATGAACTCTCAACCAAAAGACTGATCGCTTTCGCTCAGCGCTGATCTTGGGATCTTGTCCAATATCTCTCCAACATTCACAAAGGAGTTTGTCCTCGTCCTTCATGTATGCCTTTGTCTGAATGCTTTGGCGCTTCTTGTTTGCATTGGCTTGGGTGGTGAGCTCGTCGGCAAATAAAGGCTCCCCATTTATGTCCACTTCATCTTCTTCCAGGCCGTAGTCGTCCGGGAAATCGTGGCCTTGCGGGGACATGTTGTCAATGCCATATTGGCCTTGCGGGTAGGGGACAGCCGCGCCACCATGGCCTTGCATGAAGGGGTCGGTCGGGCCCTCGTGACCTGTCGTGAAGGTGGCGTGGCCGTCTTGGCTTTGGGTCTCATCGGTATCGTAGGTCGTGCCATTGACGCCGCCCTCAAAGATGATGTTCTCCATGACGAAACGGTTTGTCGTGTCATCATTCGTGGTCGCCGACATTGTGTCGAACAGGTTGCGAACGTCGGGACGCATGTCGGTGGGGATCTCATGCGGCGGTTTGCTTTGGCCCGCGGTGGATGACCCACCGGCCACAGGTGTGGCTTTGAGGTCGATGGCCATGGGCGCTGGCGTGGTCGGCACGACCACTCTCACCTCCGGCGAGCAGTCCACAAGAGAGGTAGAGAAACCGAAGGCCTGCAGGTGGGGATGGAAGTCAGGCGTCTGCGGTGTGGTAGACGTGCACAACGACTTTGGCCGTCGGGAACAAATGGCCGAGAAGCTCGTGCTGGCTAGGGCCGTTGTCAAACCCTAGGTAGAGTAGGGCCTGCTTCATGGCCGCTGCGACGAGGGCCATGTTCTCCACGATGGTGGCTTCTTGTCGGCTTCCAGCTTCCTCCGGCCAACCCTCTTGGCCGACTGAATGGCCCGCTGCGTGTCCGTCGACTCCTTGAACGGCGCCACCTTTTTGCGGACGTCGCAAGGCTTGCCGGCGATGGAGGCAAGGCCAACAAAGGTTCAACACGTCGTCCATGGCAAAAGCGTAGAGGTTCGACACGTCGTCCATGGCAAAGGTCAAGGTTCGACAAATAGTCCATGGCAAGCCCAACAAAGGTGACGCGTCGTCCATGGCAAGTTGAGGGTTTTGGGGAAAGGAAGGGAAAGGGGAGGAGGGGGGAGGGTACAAGGGCTGGCATCACACCGTTCGCACCGAGCCAAACCCTGCTCAAATTTGGTCCTAAAATGGGCCAAACGCAAACTTCGACGCGTCGTCCATGGCAAGTTTATGGGAGGGTTTTTGGGAAAGGTAGGGAAGGGCGGAGGAGGGGGGAGGGTATCACACCAAGGCAAACCCTGCTCAAATTTGGTCCTGAAATGGGCCAGACGCGAACAAAAAGCGATCGCTGGGTCGGGTGTCGACATGTTGGGTTGGCTTTTTCATCTGTTTCTCTCAACCAGTTCTCTCAACCAGCGTTGAACCAAAAACATTTGAGTTGGCGTGTTGCTCTAACTGATCAATCGTTGGAAACATTGAATTATAATTAGCCATTCAGCTTTATGTTCTAGCCCAAGTTTCAGTTAGCATGTACTCCCTCTGTAAACTAATATAAGAGTGTTTAGGTCACTACTTTAGTATTCTAAACACTCTTATATTAGTTTACGGAGGGAGTACTAGAATTAGGAAAATCAAGGGATTTGGTGGAGATTTAGAAAATGATTCATGTGAATAGAATCATAGATTTGTGTGAATCAAAAAACACTTAGCAAACAACAGCAAGATGGAAACAACGATATCATGAAAACAAAACCACATGAATGTCCAGCAGAACAACCATATGAAGTATTATCTGTATGACAGCTCCAACTCAGCGTCGCAAAAAGGTACACAAACCGAAGATAACAAGAGTGGTTCCAAGAGCACAACAGGACCCTACAACTCGACTAAATAAAATAGGTAGAAAGCTCTCTTCTCTTCACTGGGTGGTGGTGGTGGTGCTGATGATGTCCGAGTCACCTGAACAATGTAACTGGTGTCAGCAGATATTACAGGGAGCAAGAGGAAACAAATGCAAGTGATCTGAATGGCAACGAACCAGGGTCAAGGATGCTGAGGCAGCACACCCGGTAGTACTTGCCGCAGGCAGTTCCAAGATCAACATTGTCTGAAACACAATGCAAATTATTAGCACAATTAAACAGGCAGACAACTATTTGCGCATAAGGTGCTATAAGAGAGAAGCAATCGGACAAAAAAAAAGGGCCTGAAAGAGCAAAATTATCTTACTTCCGTGGAAGTGGTGCACGCTAATTTTCGCCAACATAGCGTAGTACTCAATCTCTGACTTCCTAAGGGGAGGGCAGTTGTTCGCGAGGATGATCAGCTTCCCTGAATATTGAAACAAATTCTCATATTAGTACTCAGAATCACATGTAAACAGGTGAACACTAGAGCAATCTTATGAGTGCAACGAATATAGCAATGCCATCCTGTGGCACAGGTGATTCCATGGAACCATTTGATAGAACAACAGAGAATATTTTCAACATATAACAAAAAATATTTCATCCTCCAATTGTTCCCCAGATAATGATACATGGGAAGTCTTAAAAGGTAGGCTGAAATGATTCTAGGGCCCTGCATTCATCTCCATGGCGGCAAAAGATGCCAAGGAGCCAAATTTCAGTCCCGTTCTACAGTCCAATATTCTAACACAACAAAAAGTAAAAATCATTACAAAAGCACAAACCACTGGAATAAAATTGTAGAAATGAAAAAAAGAGAAAAACAATCTATAAACGCCCTAAATGGCAAGAAAACTCATCTGGCTGTATCAGTTTTAAACTCCAAACTGCCCAACAAAGATGCAATTGCCTCAGGCAATGCATCCACCTCTTAGGCACACCAAAAGCAAGACAACAAGCTAAACTGCAGTACAAACTTAATTCAGCAAATAGAAATATTCAACCTCCCACTGTCCACTAGACATGGAGGAGGTCTTGTAGAAGTCTCAATACAAGAGGTGGCTTGTTTTAGGGAGCTGTATTCATCTCTAAGGCACAGCCAAAGCAAGCCAGTGAGGTAAACTTCAGTCCCAGTCTACAAACTAATTTGATAGGTACAAACAACAATGTGTCCCACTCTACAAACTAAATTCATCGGAAAAAACTACAAGACAACTTCCAACACACAACCGAAAACACAGCACAAACAGCTATCAGCAAACAGAAATATTTCAACCTCCCATTGTCCACTAGACATTTAAAAGGTCTGGCAGAAGTCATAACTAAGAAGTGGCTTGTTCTAGGGCGCTGTATTCATCTCTAAGGCACGGCAAAAGCAAGCCAATGAGGTAAACTTCAGTCCCATTCTACGAACTAAAAGTTTCACCGCTACAAACTTCACTGGGCACCATTACAAACATGCAGAGAATACATATACAGTTCAGCTTATCCCACAAATAAGTACAGCAAGCAATTGACAGCCACAAATCAGACATTAACCACCTCATTCTACAGAAGCTAATCACGCATCACCGGAATTAACATAGTCCCAAGCGTAAGTTACAGTACGACCCTTCGGATCCAGCAGACCAAGGAACTAGCAGATCAGCCACAACGACAAATAAATCAACAATGACAAATAGATCCATACCCTTGGAGCTGCGCAGCGTCTTGAGGACGGTCTTGTAGCCGAGCGTGTACTTGCCGCTCTTCATCACCAGCTGCAGCTTGTTGTTGATGTTCTCCCCGCTCTTCTTCTGCAGAGCGCACCCATCACCAATCGAAAAACAGTGAGAAGATCTCTCAGAAAAGAGAAAACCACCGCATCAACCGAGGAACGAATCAAGCTGAAATGGAAGGAGCGGCGGGCGGGGATCGATTAGGGTACGTACCGCCTTCTTGGTGGGAGCCATCGCGTCGGGCGAGCGAGCGTGGGGAAGGGGGTGCGGATGGCTTCGGGGGAGGCGGCGGCGCAAATGGAGGGCTCGCTAGGGTTTAGCGGCAGGGGCTATATAGGTGCGGCCGCGCGGACGAGACTGCCGCGACGGATATGGGCTGGACCGGGCCTCATTGGGCCGAGAATGAACCCAACGGGCCATCGCGTTGAGCTGGCGAGGTGGGCCCGTGTTGCCAGACTGCTCGGTCGTAAATAGAGGTACCGGTTGATCCGTAGCCCCCCTACGCGGTGTGTCTCCATTCGCAAAAACCCTAGCACGAGCAGCGCCGCCGCCGCAGCAATAAAGGCGTCGCCGGAGGAGATGAGTGGAGAGGGGGAGGGGGAGGGGAAGAGGAGGGTGCTGGACATCCTCGCGGGCTCCGACGACGACTCGGACGGCCCCGCCGAGGACTACTCGAACTTCCAGATCGACGAGGGGTACGCTCGCCGCTACGAGCACAAGAAGCGGCGCGAGGCGCTGGACCGCCTCAAGGAGAAGAAGAAGAAGGAGGCCCTCGTCGCCGACCCAGACGACGAGGACGACGACGACTCCGACGACGAGTCGGACGAGGACGAGGCCGTCGCCGCCGCCTCCCGCCGCGTCGACCGCCGCGTGCTCCAGGTCATCCGCCGCATCCGCAGCGGCGACAGCGCCATCTTCGACAAGGACGCCAAGGTGTACTCCTCCTCGTCGGAGGACGAGGACGAGGACGGCGCCGAGGGGGAGCCCAAGGAGGGGAAGAAGGCCAAGAAGGAGCGGCCGCTGTACCTCAAGGACGTCAACGCTCAGCACCTGCTCGAGGAGGGCCCCGAGTTTGCCGCGCAGGCTGGCCGCGGCAGCAAGTATGACCGGATTGCGTACAACGAGCTCCAGAGGGACGGGCTCAAGGAGTTCCTTGAGGCGGAGAAGAAGGCATTGGGGGATGGCGATGATGAGGAGGAAGATCTGTTCAAGGCGAAGCAGGCTGAAGGAGATGGTGGCGACAGCGAAGAGGACGAAGACGAGAAGCAGACCGAGGAGCTGTTGGGTGAGGTTTTTGGGGATGATGACAAGCTGGATGACAATGAGAAGTTTTTGAAGAATTACATCCTCAATAGGCCCTACCTTGAACCAGCGCCGGAGAAGTTCTCGCTGGATGATATCCAGGAGGTCTCACAGGAAGAGGATGTGATCGAAACTCAGGAGGACTATGAGGATATTTATAATAAGTTGGGGAATTATAAATTCCGGCATGAGGAGGTGGAAGCTTCAGAGGGAGTGGTGACTGATCGGGTAATGGGACATCCCCGGGTTGTTGAGGGGTCTGTGAGGAAGAAGGAGAGCAGCAGAAAGAAGCAGCGCAAGAGCAAAGAGGAACGGCTTGCGCGAGCCAAGCAGGAGCAGGCAGAGGAGCTGAAGCATCTCAAGAATTTGAAGAAGAAAGAGATTGCTGAGAAGCTTGAGAAGATCCGGATGATTGCTGGAATTGAAGGGGAAGCTGCCTGTAAGCTTGGTGCAGATGACTTGGAGGAAGATTTTGATCCAGAGGATTATGACAGGAAAATGCAGGAGATGTTTGATGACAGCTACTATGGTGCTGATGAGGTTGATCCTGGGTTTGGAAGTGGAGATGATTTGGATTTGGTCAAACCTGATTTTGACAAGGAAGATGAATTGCTTGGGTTACCTAAAGATTGGGCACCTGATGGTAAAGAAGGGTCTACTGCCACTGGTGAGAAGAAGAAAAATAAGGAGCTTGCAAATGGTGAGGAGGAAGGCGAGAAAAAGAAGGGGAAGATCTCTCTCAAGGACAAGGTGGAGCTTGAGAAGGAGCTTGATGAGTATTATAAGCTAGACTATGAGGACACCATTGGAGATCTGAAGACACGGTTCAAGTATAGGCAAGTTCAGCCAAACAGTTTTGGACTGGAGACGTATGAGATACTGCAATCAGATGACAGGGATCTGAACCAATATGTATCCATGAAGAAGCTAGCACCATATAGGGAGGATGAATGGCAGGTGACTCATCATAAGAAGCTGAGCAAAGATTTGATCCTTGGAGGACAGAAGATAGAAGGCAAGAAGGTCAAATCTCACAAGAAATCTAAGTCTGGGGAAGGCCCTAGTTCTGGGAGGCCAGAGACAGATAAGCCAACAAGTGAACAAGAAGAAACTGATGGCAAGACAGAGTCAAAAAGCAAGAAGCACAAGACTGGGAAGAGATCCAGGTCCGAGGATGGTCCTGGTCCTGAAAAGGCAGAGGAAGTCAAGTTGACAAGTGAGCAAGAAGATGCAGATGCCAAGACAAAGTCAAAGAAGAGCAAGAAGGCCAAGACTGGCAAGGAATCCAGGTCGGAGGAAGACCCTAGTTCTGGAAAGCCAGAGGAGGGCAAGTTAACAAGTGAAGAAGAAACAGGTGGCAAGAAAAAATCAACTAGAAGTGAGCGAAGGAACCGTCGAAGGAAGGAGTTGAAAATATCCAGGGACAGACAGGGGGCATACGGGCTGATAGATCTGAAGAGTCAGAAGAGCAATTGATTTTGGGGATTCAGCGTAGTTCATATGGAAACTTCAGTTTTTCGATGCACCTCTCTGTGGGTGTTGCCGTGGTGGAAACATTTGCTTGGAGCCATCAGTATACTATCTATGTAGGATATTGTCGTCTAATCTTGGAAGTTATGAACCCATTGTTATCCTAGTAGCAACCTATTTGTGTGTGAGTTTTGAAGGCAGTCCGTTCGTGAAAGATATAATTTCTTTGTTTTACTGTTACAGTTTTATTTCTCTTGTGATGTTCAGTTTTATTTCGCTTGTGATTTCTTGATGAGTGGTTTAAAGCAATGGTTATCTTTCTAAATTATCATCGCATCTCTATGATTTGACAGTTGAAATCACATACGCCCTAGTAGTAGAAAGTACCTGTTCCTCATGACATCGATTACATGGTACTCCCTCCATCCCATAATATAGGACGCTTTTTGACACTTTACACTAGTGTAGTGTCAAAAAATGTCTTACATTATGGGACGGAGGGAGTAGTAACTAATAGCAATAATACACTCTTTGTTTCCTTGAGCAATCTTGTTAGTTTCATGCATAAACAAATACCCCACTGTTTTCTCCATTTGTTTAGTACAGCATTGCCAGTAGTTGGGACTGCTTTTAGGAATTGCCTTCTGTGCAGTCTAAAATGTAATTGAGTACTGTAATACCAAGTCAGATAGATAGATCAACTGCAAAGTGGACACAGTTGCTCTACTGGGCCTCTTCTCTGCAATAAAAAATGGGTTCTGTTCAGGCACAATATGCTCTCGTGTTCACCGGCTGAAGAAGAAAGCTCCATCAATCAATAATAGTGCATGAGAAAGCAGTAACCTAGAACCAAGTCTGGCCTCACCGAGTGAAGACCAAGTCAAAGTAGCAGCCCCGGCCCAGAGCAGTGGCTAGCGACCAGGTCAACACAATTAGCATCTCCTCAACCATCATCTGCTCTGCTCTTGTCATCTTGCCCTCTGCAAAAAAAGGAAGTACCTGGTGAGTTTATTCCCTTTTGCTGGTTGTTGGCACATGTCCCTTTCTTCTGCCGTCACAATCTCCCCACACCCCCTCCGTTATGCTCTCTGTATAATTGCCACAGGGCAGATGTTTATATATGAAGTCCCTATCAGCTCCACAACTACTGTTTCCAGTTCCTGCTCTGCTGTTCCCCAATCTCCCTTCTCTCCCCCTCAGAGACACCTGCGATCAGTTTGTTCTTCCGCTAGCAGTGCTTACCGTTTTCATTTCTCGTGTGAAGCAGGTCGATTCGTGCCGGTTCACCGCCAGCCCCGGTTGCTCCTGCCCTCTAAGGCTCTAGGGGCCTTACTGGTGTTTGCTTCCTCAAGTTTCAGGTTCTTTGGTCAAATAGCCAGTTGAAGCTGCTCTTGCTGCTGCACAATGTCAACAACTGAAAGCAGAAGGCTGTCCGATGACTATGAAGTTGCGGATGTCCTTGGCCGAGGCGGTTTTTCCATAGTCAGAAGAGGTGTGAGCAAGTCTGATGATGGAAAGACCCAGGTCGCAATAAAGACTCTCCGAAGGCTCGGCCCTGCGATGATGGGGATGCAGCAGGGGTCAAAGGGCGCGCCGAGCTCGGGCGGCCTCCCGCTGTGGAAGCAGGTATCCATCTCCGACGCGCTGCTCACCAACGAGATTCTTGTCATGAGGAGGATAGTGGAGAACGTCGCGCCGCACCCGAACGTCATCAGCCTGCACGATGTGTACGAGGATGCGCACGGCGTACACCTCGTCCTCGAGCTGTGCTCGGGTGGCGAGCTGTTTGACAGGATCATAGGGCGCGAGCGGTACTCGGAGTTTGATGCGGCCGCTGTTGTTAGGCAGATTGCTGGTGGGTTGAAGGCTCTTCACAAGGCCAACATCATACACAGGGACTTGAAGCCAGAGAACTGCCTCTTCTCGGACAGAAAAGAAGATTCCACGCTGAAGATTATGGATTTCGGTTTGAGTTCTGTAGAAGATTTCAGTGACCCGGTTGTGGCGCTGTTTGGGTCGGTAGATTATGTTTCACCAGAGGCACTCTCGCGGCAAGAGGTTTCGACTGCAAGTGATATGTGGTCTGTTGGGGTGATTCTGTATATTCTTTTGTCCGGGTATGTTGGTCATCCTGTCTTGTAGGAGTAGTAATTTCCTTGGCATGATTTCGTCATTGCAGTTTGCAGACTTTGATCTGTATATATTTCAGGTGCCCACCATTTCATGCTGCAACCAATCAAGAAAAGCAGCAAAGGATCCTGCAAGTAAGCATTCCTCTTCCTCTCAACTAACATCTGAGGAAAATGTCCTCTTTTTTCGGAAATTTAAAATGTTCTTCAGTGGTGATTAAACTGGTTTGGATTTTCATTGTGATTCATATGGGGAAAATGTTGTGCAGTGATTGGTTTGAAAATGTTGTGCAATCTTAACCCTGTTAGTATTTCTACAACCAGCTAGGACAATGTTGATTGATTATGTAGACACACTTGTAGTGGGAAGGGAGTTAAATCAGTTTCCCGGAATGATCTTTGCATTTTCTTGTGAAACAGAATCACCGTGCCTGCGAATATAATATTTGTGGTTTATAAGTTCTGTAAACGCTCTTCCAGTATAAATTATGGGTGAGGCATTTTGATTCAGTCTGCAAAGTTAGCATGAGTGTCCACCTTCTGTCAACTGGTTTGGAGCAATTGACCTTGAATAGTACAGAGACATGACTGCCAATCATTGCTGAATTTTATTCTTCTGTTAGTTGTTGCTACTTGAATTCCAATTTGTCTTATCTGATGTCCAGCTCCAAACTTCCAATGGGCAAGTTTCTTTGAGATGTGTGAGTCAGTAGCTAACTGGAGATTCCTTTGAGCATGCAAACAAAATATTTTCTTAGAGAGTGAGCCAAAATAAGGGCCCTTATGGATATCTTTTTTGCGAGTATTATGATGTGGGGTTAATTGAAGATTGTGTCGTAAGCCACTGAAAAAGGAATTGACACCTTTTTTTCTTTGAAGAATTAAGTCCCCAAAACTAATAGGTGTCTGAAGAACTTGAGCACTTGAGTGTCTATATATACAAATTCCCTTGATTGCTTGCTTCAACAAAGAACCCACCAATCTTGCACTAGTCAGAGTCTAATCTAATGTCGTTTGTTTGATGTGCTTCTTTCAGGGTGAATTCAGTTTTCAGGAGCATACATGGAAAACAATAACTTCATCAGCCAAAGATTTGATTTCCAGTCTGCTTTCCGTTGAACCTTACAGAAGGCCCACTGCGAGTGATGTCCGTCTCGTGCTCCCTTTTTGCTCTTCGCACTCTACTTATTAGTCGATATAACTGTAGTTAACTGTGGGCCCGTTATGATGAAAAACCAGCTTTTGATGCATCCTTGGGTGATAGGAGACTGCGCCAAGCAAGATCGCATCGACGCAGAGGTTGTCTCGAAACTGCAGAGGTTCAATGCTAGAAGGAAATTGCGGGCAGCAGCAATAGCCAGCGTCCTGAGCAGCAAAGTGGCATTGAGGACAAAAAGGCTGAGGAGTCTTTTAGGAACCCATGACCTTACCTCGGAAGAGCTAGATAACCTGAGGCAACATTTTGCACGGATGTGAGTGTCCAATCTTCAAAATATTGTTTATTACTTGAACAGTGACAACATTTCTCAGTTAGTGACAAGATGAATAGCGTAGTTGTGTGTTTCTTCAATCAGTACATTTGATACCGGCTATATTTTGGCTCAATACTTGAATTTATCTACAAAGTGCTCCTGTTGCAGATGCGCAGATGGAGAGAACGCCACACTAACAGAATTCGAGCAGGTGCTGAAAGCAATGAAGATGGACTCGCTGATCCCTCTAGCTCCTCGTGTATTTGATTTGTTCGACAACAACCGTGACGGAACCGTGGACATGAGGGAGATCCTTTGCGGGCTCTCCAGCCTGAGGAACTCGCGGGGCGACGACGCTCTGCGGCTCTGCTTCCAGGTAAACCCCAAAACAGCGTGACTCTACTGGAGAAGGTTCTTGTGATGATGATCTGACCAAAAACACTACTGTTTCAGATGTACGATGCCGATCGGTCGGGCTGCATCAGCAAGGAAGAGCTGGCTTCGATGCTCCGGGTAAGCAGGGCAGACACAGAGACACTACACACTACCTGTACTGTACCAGATCAGATTGTTGTTCTGAACACAAACTTGTTGCTGTGGCTGCTAGGCGCTGCCTGAGGAGTGCCTCCCGGGGGACATCGCGGAGCCGGGGAAGCTGGACGAGATGTTCGACACGATGGACGCCAACGGCGACGGCGAGGTCACCTTCGACGAGTTCAAGGCGGCGATGCAGAAGGACAGCGCCCTGCAGGACGTCGTCCTCTCATCCCTGCGACCCGGGCAGCAGTAGACTTCTCCATTTCAGATCGAATTTGTACTAGCTGAACGTGCAGTCTCCTGCCTGAACTCTGTCTTTCCCTCCACCGGCTGCTGTAAAATGGAAAGGGGAACAAAAACAGTAGATGCTGCGCCGTTTGTGGTTAAACACTTAAACTCCTGCACGATATTTATTTCTAAGGGAGCACATATTCATCTGGTCTGGTGCCTGAGAACGTTCTTCAACCTCCAGCCGTACCTTCTCTGGTCTACCTTCTAGCATCGACCGACCACCTCGCTGCCCCGTCATTCCCTGGCCTCCCCCACTCGTTCTGATGCCGCCTCCGACCATCCCTACAAATCTGTACACCGACCAGATTTCCTTGATGACCTGCACCCTCTCCTTCGACCTGAGACGTCGCAGCTTACTCTGTCGTTGCCTCCGATCATCCCTCTAAACATGTACCCCGTTCAGATTTCCCTGACAACCCGCACCCCTCCCCCTCCTCGACCCACACTAGTCGATCCGCTTCCTCGCCTCCGGTTGGGACGAGCTTTTCTGCCGCTGCCTCAGACCACCCGTCTAAACATGCATTGTGACCAGATTTCTCCGATGACCCATACCCCTTACCTCGATGTTAGGAGGCTCCTGTAATGTGTCGGTACATGGGCCTGCTCCCTTCGACAACACATGAGCGGGACCTGGGCGTACGCCACATCGAGCGATGCTTGCTATAAGTACCAACGAAGGCAGTATTTAACAAAAAAACTACCACAATTCGTGAAACCGTGTCTATAAACTATCATTTTACAAATTTGTGCGAAAAACTACCATTTTTTCACTAATCTTTGACTAAAAACTACCATGTATGAAAAATGCCCGATTCAACTTGTTTAAACTCGATTATGAAAAAATAAAAACGCAATCAGGTCCCTGCAAAGACACGAAAAAAAGCAATCGGGTCCCTGTTGCCGGCAAGCTCATTCCCGCCTCCGCCTTGGCTAGCAGGTCACTGGAAGATGCCGCGCAGCCGGAACCTGCCGCGCGACGAAGCAGATTGGGGAGCCGCCGGTCGTCGGGTAGCAGTGCGCAAGGCGGAGCCTCTCCCACCAGAGCGCACGGCAGGCGACCGCCCCGAGCACGCGCACCTACGGAGGAGAGAGGAGGCATAGCCGGGGTCGACTCCGGCTGGCAGCTCGTCTCCATGCAAGGGGCGGGCATGCTTCCGTGCGGCCTGGCGGCGAGCACGGCGAGGCTGCAGCACTGCTCGCTGGGGAGGAGCTTGAATGTGATGCCTCGTCATGCTCCTCGGCACGGCAGCCGGAGACCTCGGCCCGGCAGCCGTGGCCTTGGTTCCGGCACTGCACGGACCTGAAGCCGGAGAAAGAGATCGAGGCGGCGGCAGCCTTCACCGGAGGCGGAGAAGATGAAATACTCCGGCGGCGCTGTCATATTCGAGTTTAATTTCGTCGAAATCAGTCGTTAGTGTTTTTTGTCAAAGATTAATGAAAAATGATAGTTTTCCGCACAAATTTGTAAAGTGGTAGTTTGTAGGCACGGTTCCACGAATTGTGGTAGTTTTTTGTTAAATACTCCAACGAAGGAGACAACAAATAGGCTATCCAGGCTTGGATCAGAACGGCAAGGGCGCGACATCTTTTTTTCTTTCTTTCCAAATTGTATTAGAGAGAGATAGAGGTGTATCTATGAGCGTAATACAAAAAGTGAGATCCAGACCCTAACATCATGGTATCAGAGACCACCTACCACCCCTCTTCGCCGCCACCGCACTGGAAACCTGGCTCTAATACCCTTTTCACTGCCCCGCTAGTCTTTTCGATGTCTCCTTTGTTGCTACTTATAGTAAGCATCAGTTGATGTGGCGTACACCCGGGTGAAAGACCGTGGATGTCGCCTAGAGGGGGGGTGAATAGGCGCTTTTAAAATAATTACAGTTTAGACTTGAACAAATGCGGAATAAACCTAGCGGTTAATTTGTCAAGCACAAAACCTGCAATAACTAGGCTCACCTATGTGTACCAACAACTTATGCTAAGCAAGATAAACCAGTAGGTGATAGCAAGATATATGACAAGAAACAATATGGCTATCATAAAGTAAAGTGCATAAGTAAAGAGCTCGGGTAAGAGATAACCGAGGCACGCGGAGACGACGATGTATACCGAAGTTCACACCCTTGCGGATGCTAATCTCTGTTTGGAGCGGTGTGGAGGCACAATGCTCCTCAAGAAGCCACTAGGGCCACCGTAATCTCCACACGCCCTCGCACAATGCAAGATGCCGTGATTCCACTAAGGGACCCTTGAGGGCAATCACCGAACCCGTACAAATGGCAACCCTTGGGGGCGGTCACCGAACCCGTACACTTTGGCAACCCTTGGGGGCGGTCACCGGTACCCGTCAAATTGCTCGGGGCGATCTCCACAACCTAATTGGAGACCCCGACGCTTGCTCGGAGCTTTACACCACAATGATTGAGCTCCGAACACCACCAACTGTCTAGGGCGCCCAAGCACCCAAGAGGAACAAACTCAAGGGTACCAAGCACCCAAGAGTAATAAGCTTCTCAACTTGTAACTTCCACATATCACCATGGAGAACTCAAAACGATGCACCAAATGCAATGGCAAGGGCACACGGAGTGCCCAAAGTCCTTCTCTCTCAAATCCCACCGAAGCAACTAATGCTAGGGAGGAAAATGAGAGGAAGAACAAGAAAGAGAACACAAAGAACTCCAAGATCTAGATCCAAGAGGTTCCTCTCACATAGAGGAGAAAGTGATTGGTGGAAATGTGGATCTAGATCTCCTCTCTCTTTTCCCTCAAAAACTAGCAAGAAACCATGGATGGATTGAGAGTTAGCAAGCTCAAAGAAGGTCAACAATGGGGGAAGAACACGAGCTCAAAGGATAAGGTTCATTGGGGAAGAAGACCCGCTTTTATAGGGCCTCCCGAATCCAACCGTTATGTGCTCAGCCCGCACACGAGCGGAACCGCTCCACGAGCGGTACTACCGCTCAGGTGGAAGAAACAGGGAAAATGAGCAACAAAACATGAACCTTGGGGTGGTAGTACCGCAGGAGACATCGGTACTACTGCTGGGTTAAGCGGTACTACCGCTCCCTTCGGCGGTATTGCCGCGCAGAACGAAGAGTAAAGGGAAAGAGGGAACCGGGCGGTACTACCGCGGAGGAAGGGCGGTACTGCCGCTAAGGAGCGGTACTGCTGCACTACTGCCGCAGCGAGGTACCGCACAATTCGACACAGAAAAAGACCCCTCGAAACGACGCGGTAGGGACTGTTGAAGAAGGTCTCCTGCCTAAACTCTGTCTTTCCCTCCATCGGCTGCTGTAAAATGGAAAGGAGAACAAAATCAGTAGATGCTGCGCCGTTTGTGGTTAAACACTTAAACTCCTGCACGATATTTATTTCCAAGGGAGCACATATTCATCCGGTCTGGTGCCTGAAAACGTTCTTCAACCTCCAGTCGTCCCTTCTCTAGTCTAACTTCGCCTCCTGCGACCACCTCGCTGCCCCGTCCTTCCCTGGCCTCCCCCGCTCATTATGCGCCCTCCTATGACCATCCCTCCAAACCTGCACACCGACCAGATTTCCTCGACAACCTGCACCACCTCCTCCGACCCGAGACGTCGAAGCTTACTCTGTTGTCGCCTCCAACCATCTCTCTAAACATACCCCTTGATGAGATTTCTCTGATAACCCACACCCCTCCCCCTGCTCGACCCACACTAGTCAATCTACTTCCTCGCCTCTGTTTGGGACGTCACAACTTGCTCGGTCTCTGCCTCAGACCATCCCTCTAAACGTCCACTATGACCACCAGATTTCTCCAACGACCCACACCCCCCTACCTCGACGTTAGGAGGCTCCTGTAATCTGTCGGGACATGGGCGTGCTCCCTTCGACATCACATGGGTCGGGCCCGCACCACATCGAGCGATGCTTGTTGTAAGCACCAACAAAGGAGATAACGAACAAGCTATCCGGGCTTCGATCAGAACCGCGACTGCACGACATCTCCTTTCTTCTTTCTTTCTTTCCAAATTGTATCAGAGAGAGACGGAGGTGTATATGTGAGTGTACAGAAAGTGAGATCCAGACCCTAACATCGTGGTATCAGAGACCACCTACCACCCCTCTCCGTCGTCGCTGCACTGGAAACCTGGCTCTGATACCCTTCTCACTACCCAGCTAGCCTTTTTGATGTCTCCTTCGTTGGTACTTATAGCAAGCGTCGGTCGATGTGGCGTACATCCGGGTCCGCCCCATGTGCCATCGAAGGGAGCAGGCCCATGTACTGACAGACTACAGGAGCCTCCTAACACTCGACCATATTAATTAATCTGCTTCCTTAGCTTCACCTGGGACGTCATGACTCACTGCCGCTTGCGGCACTGTCCCCTTCTCCAACGAGATCTTGGCTCGGCCTCGTCGCGATCAACATTCCTTGCTCCCATTTGTCACCTCACCCCCGCCTTCGGCCTCGTTGCAAAATTCGACTGCCGCAATTGTTGGCTTTTGTATTTAAACAAGCAGGTAGCACTACAAAAAACAAACAAGCCGTGAAGCAAAAAAGACCGAGCCTTCTGTTTTTTTTAAAGGAGCTCAAACTATTAAATGAGACTTCCCTTAAGTGTGAAGAAAAACTAAAATGGTCTGCTGCACCTAGACAGGTAAGTTGGCGCCAAAACCTCATGGAGTTGCCGCCAAATCGTCCATTTCATTTTCTGTTCCCTCACGAGATGGATCAATCTAAACCGTTGATTTATTTGGACGGTGGCCAGCAGCACGATGCTGAACAAAACCCTCGGTCCCCAATCCCTCGATTTGTTCCCCATCCTCCACCACGACATTCCCACAAGCCGCCATCCATGGAGGCGGCGGCCTCAGCTGCTGTTGCGGCTGCCAAGGAGACGGCGCTGGCTGCGGCTGCTGCGGCATCGGCTGCTTCCAAGGAGGCGGCGGCGGCGGCTGCGGCTGTGACGGAGGCAGCGGCGACCGTCAAGGAGGCGGCGGCGAAGGCTTCGGCTGCTGCGTTAAACGCGAAGGAGGCAGCGGCCGTGGCGACGGCTGCACGGGAGGCGGCGGCTGCCGCTGCCGCTAACGTCGCTGCCGCGACGGCAGCACTGCAAGCTTCAAAGAAGCGCAAGTTCCATCTTGTCGACGACCAAGATCCGCCGGGGAGTGGCAACTCCGATGATGTTGATGTGGGGAGCGTCGATCTCACTGATGAAATTGATGGGGGAGCGTCGATCACATAAGCCGTGTCCCCGACGCCGTCCTGGGCAGCATCGTATCTCTTCTCCCCACCAAGGAAGGGGCACGCACTCAGGCCATCTCCCGCCGGTGGCGTCCGCTCTGGCTCTCCTCTCCTCTGAACCTCGCGTTAGACCGTGGACCCAATAGCAAGGAATTGATTACAAAGATACTCTCTGAGCATCCTGGCCCCGCACGCCGCTTCTCGGTCTGCATCTCTCAGAACGACGACAAGATCGAAGGCTGGCTTAGTTCCCCAGCCCTGGACAACCTAGAGGAGTTCGAGCTTACCTACACGTTCTGGGGCAACAACAAGGACAAGTTGTGCCTGCTGCCATTGTCCGTGTTCCGCTTTTCGCCCACTATCCGCGTGGCCACATTCTACGGCTCCCATTTCCCCAACTTGATCGCGCAGCTGTCCCTGAAGTTTCCGTGCCTCAAGCAGCTGACCTTGGAAAGGGTCACCATCTCGGAGGACGTTCTCCAGGGCATGCTCTCTGGCTGCCCTGCCTTGGAAAGCCTTGAGCTGATGAAAGTTTTTGGCATTGATCGCCTTTGCATCAGCTCCCAAACTCTTAAAAGTTTACGCTTTTTCGCCGGCTGGACCAGTCAAGGTCTCTTTTTGCATGAGTTAGTCATTGAGGACGCCCCGTGCCTTGAGAGATTGCTACGTCTTGATCCAGTGGGCACAAAGTCCATAAAGATAATTGGTGGGGCACCTAAACTGGCGATATTGGGTATGCTGTCTGAAGATATATCTGAACTCCACCTTGGAAGTTCAGTTTTTCAGGTAGCAGCAGTGTTCGTCAATTGCAATCGACATTCTTATGTGCAGGCTATTATTCTTATATCTGCCATTTTTTTGCAGAAAATGATTGCTGTCAGTTTGACCACCAAAATGCACACCATGAGGGTTTTGGCTCTCAGATCTACTGGCCCTAATTTGGATGCAGTGGTTAACTTCCTCAAGTGCTTCCCTTGCTTGGAGAGGTTGTATGTCATTGTGAGTATAAAACATAGTTGTTTGCGTTAAATTTCAGTTTAAGCATTTGATTGGCATGCAATCTAGCCAACTATTGTATTGCTAACCTGCTGGCAATTTCTTGTGTGTTTTTTGTCTTTATCTCCAGTTCAAGTCATGGGAGGTTATCAATAATGTCCGGAGTTATGATCCACTGGACCCAATTGAATCCCTTGAGCTCCATCTCAAAAATGTGGTGTTGAAGAATTATGACGGCACCAAGAGTTCATCTATTGACTTTGCCAAGTTCTTTGTTCTGAATGCAAAAGTGCTAAAGGAAATGAAAATCACATTGCCTTACCACCGCCGGCACAGATGGTTTGCTAAGCAATTCAGCCTGCTACGAGTCAGAAGTAGAGCTTCTCAAGATGCTCAAATTGAAATGAGATGTGGCAGTCACGAGTATTTCACACACATCAAGCGTACCCATGATTTGTCAACTGACGACCCCTTTGACTTGCCCTCCATAGGGTGCTCAAAGTGTAAAGAGAAGGGTCTAGGAGATGCGGTATACCAAATTTAAATAGAACATTGGGCTGCCAAGACCACCAACCTGTGGTGCTAGCCAGTAAGCCTCCAAGCCTTTCTCTGATGTAGTTGGTGCCCATCCTGAAAATTGACTTGCCTTCTTTTCAAAGCCCAAGCTTTTGTATCTAGCCTATAATGTTGTCCCAGCCGTCTACTTCATTTAGCAATGGAATGTTTTGTGGCCCACTCAGGATTTTACCAGGACAAAGGAGGTGGTGTCCAAGCTCATGCTTCAAATCTCAATTTGCGTAATGTATTTTCTGTTCTATCGCGCTTGAAACGGTTCATCAGTAGTTTATTTTATGTTCTATTGCGCCTAAAGGGGTTCCTCAGTGGTTTATTTTCTGTTCTATTGCGCTTGGATGCTGGTTTTTAATCTGTTGTGTTTAGTTTGTAATCCTCGTATCTTTGCTGTTCGGTCTTGTATCGTAAGCTAGTAACACCAACCGTTACTACATTTTTTTTATACATGTATGGTCTGGAAGTCGCAAAGCAGAGTACCGCCTCCTCCCATAAGCAGAGATCCATAAATTGGCATGAAAACACATGTGCGATGGCAACAAATATACTACCCAGCATACATCTTTTCGTATGGATGGTGTCCTGTGATAGTCGTTCCTTTACATGCTGAACTTATTTTGCAATTCTATTGTGAAACCTAAGTCTGAAACGACTCCCAGTCTACCACTGAAATGAGATTCAGTTAGTTGATCGGCAGTCCTACACTCCTCCCAAGTTCTGAAAATGACAGTCCAGTAAGGTACAACCATCACCTTCTTAATTTATTGGAGCAGCAGCTGCTGTAAGTTTTAATTAAGAAACCTGGAAAAACAGTTTTAATCAAGATACAACTCAGAATTTGCAGCAGTCTATTATAATTATTCTCAACTCAAGTCAGTTTATGTTAACAAGTGAGGCACACTACATCCTGTTTGTTTACCCATCCTAATATTGTTGTCTGGTTTATGTACAAGTGCTGTGTCAACTGAGCATGGAGAATTGAACTCTCTAGTTCCCGGCTTAATCTGTCTCTGGTTGGTCACCCCCTTTTCTTCTGCTTTTGTTCTCAAACTATCTTTTCTGCTGAGTGCCCGTGCGTTGCCACGGAATAATAAATAAAAGCTATATAGAGAGATTGATTATCTGCATTTTCTGTTCTACGAATGTATTTATCAAGGGTATTTTGTATGCGATGCCTGACTATCTAACAACAAAATTTTATTTTCCCCTTGTTTTACATTAATGTTATTGTGTGTTTCACATAAAATGACCCATGTTGTATCATATAAAAATAAATGTTACTCCTGAAATACCATGATGCAGTTTCTCATAGTTCAGGCCGCATATAAAAATAAATGTTATTAGATCCAAAGTTCAGGCAAAAATCGTAATGATATATGACTGCAGTTTCAATTTAGTGAAACTAAATTAGAAAAACTAAAGCACAGGGAGGGAAGGAGAGTCGCTGCATTGGTATTCCATTATTATATTTGATGTAAGTTCTTCCCTCAAGTATGCTCCTGTTGTAATGTCAAGGGCTATGTATTCCAATTTCTAAATACACATGAGATAATATAAAGGTTAAAGAAATATGACCTACTTATTCTATTTCTCAAAGTTGAAGCACAAATGAAAAGAGTACAATTCATGATTGCCATAAGCCAAAGAGTACAATTCATGATTGCCATAAGCCAAAGAGTACAATTCAAGATTGCTGCAAAGTTCCTTAACATTGCCATCACCTCAGTTTTGTTACTTTTCTTGACAATATACTCCTGAAATC